TCGTTCTCGTCCTGTTCATTCACCGCCATGATATGTAATGAATACTTAACGCGTCCTCAAAGAATTGTCACTGAAATATTCCCCATTCATTCGATAAAGATATTTATATTAAAAAGTGCAAAAAATAAGCAAAAATAGTGAATTACCAAGTAATTGATGAACTGAACATATTATTCAACCCATGAGACAATAGTGAGTGAGTGAGTGAGTTTGGTTTTACGCCGCTTTTAGCAATATTCACGCAATATCACGGCGGGGGACACCAGAAATGGGCTTCACACGTTTTGCCCATGTGGGGAATCGAACCCGGGTCTTCGGCGTGACGGGCGAACGCATTAACCACTAGGCTACCCCACCACCCCCATGAGACAATAAGAACATACATAACAAATCGTTCTAGCTTCGCATATAAGCTCACCGATATAGAATTGGTATTTCTTAGCAGTATAAAAATCAGAGTTGTTGCGAAAAATATATGTTCATGAAATACTGGCAATAGTTGTACAGCACTGAGTCAACGGTGAACACAGAGATATAAAATGTTGCGTAGGCACAATGGAATGTGGAAGACAGTGAAAGGAGTTGCATCAGACAAAGGAAGAACATATCACAAGCCTCTGAATCACCTGTCCCACAAAAAGACCAACGCATACACCTCTTTCTAAAATAAGCTTTGAAATGTCATGTCAGGAGTAACGGATGCTGTTGGCGTCTTGGGAAGCCCGACTTGGCAGACATTGTTTCTATGTTGTGTTTCTGATTCATTGACAGTTTAAATATAACTTAACCCAAGATATGTTCGCGTACCTTCTGAGAGACGGGAATAGGTTCTTCAGACAATGAAATCATGGAACGTGGAAGGGTATTTTCAAATATTCTTGTTATTTGTATTACGAGATGTGCATAACCTTCGTTCTTGCTTGGGTATGACGTCACTAGCCATGGTAACCGATATTCCCGCATTGTGAAACACAATGTTTTAACAGTGTTCCTCCTGTACAACAAAGCATGATGTAACAACTAACAGTTGTTTGATATTTTACTTTGGATGTTCGCATTGAATACCTCTATAATACTAGCATTGGATTATTAAAATAAATATCTGCTAAAGGCGATCCAGTTCCTTGATATAGACCACATGTTTTTCTCCTGATTTCGTTAACAATCTAGAGTTTTCTGTTTTTGTTTTCGACACCACATAATAACAGCTGCGTATTATCTCAGTGAGTGAGTGAGTGTGTGGGTGAGTTTATCCTGCATTTAACCCTATTCCATTCATACCAGGATGCCATCTTGATGAGGAAGGAAGTGATGGAGGTCTCACACGTTTACATATTGAAACCCAACTCCCGAGAACGGGTAAAATGCCGACAAAACAAACAACACACACAAGACGAACGTGGAACCAAAGCCAAAAGTTTCTATCAAAACTGGAGGGTTTTCTTTTGATAATAAATACACGTATATTGAAAAAATGCATCTTTCGCACAAACATAAATGTATCCAAGTAGTCTGTCTCACAGTCCCTGAACTGCATTCTTTTACCTTCCGCCCAGCACTTTCTGCAATCCTAAAGTCCTTAATGTGGCAAGGCTAGATTTCCTTGTTAATCTCCCATCACACTGCTGTTTCTGTTTCTGTCAAGTTTATATACAAGCGAGTCAGGTAATTCTGTGCAGCTGCAATAGCGTTCTTCCGTATCGAGGTAAACATCGTCTGCTACCACATTTACGCTTGAAATCGGGACATTTCTACAAGGGGCTGGCTTTTAATCACTAAAGGTAAGTAAATAACAGTAATTGACAGTTTTATGAAAATTCGTTTTCCTCAGACTTTTAAACCTTTTTCTTTATTATTCATAATTGGATTAAATATGAAACACTCTTCGTTACATTGATGAAGTGATTTTTGAATCTGGCCCTAATACGCTTCGATACTTCGGATCTCCAGCTGGATGTTATGCGCATCAGTTGCTGCGCAGAATTACCGGACAACAAGCGATGTCGTCAGAACGCCAGTAAGGTCAACCGTATGGCATAATGCAATGTAAGAATCTTATAGTCGTCAAAAAACCTTATATTTCTAGGTAAATATGATGCATACCAGCATGTTTAGTCACGTAAACCACAAAATATAAGAGACGTTAGTTGCCGTGTTGCGACCGATGTGCTTAGGTGCGCGGAATTACCGGACGGCATTGTATATTCAGAGACTAAGTGTTAGTTTCGTCTCCATGTTATCATGGTATTTGTAGTCTTGTCTCCATGTTATCGTGGTATTTATTACCGGCCATTGAGCGCGATACATACACCAATGTCTAGTACAGAGTGTGTAAAAATAACAAAATTTTGGTTGTGGTGCATCTTGAAATATACAATCTAGGTTAAATATACACATACTTTTATTCTATTAGCAATGTTATTCTGTACATTAGTATAGTCCAAGAAGTTGTGTGTTACGACTTTTTATGCTTCCGCTCTACAGAAGTACGCATGAGTTACAGCACTGTGTTCCATACTGATTGGAATGACAGCTGAACACTGGCTATGCTTGGAATGTGTTGATAAGTTTCTCGATAGGGGCTAGTTGGACGTAACATTGGGTAATTGAACCTGTATTATGTAACAGACGGAAAGGTATACTCCCTGTACCTATTATAGCATACGCATAGCAGAAGCTAGAGAATACTTTGTTCCGATGTGTACTGATTCTATATAGACACGCGAGTAGATGGTTTAGATGGTGTATTACACTGAGAAAAAAAGCTTCAGCCAAAACATCAGGTGTTGTTTCTAAACAAACGCAAAGGTAGATTGTAGGTCGACTATATAGTGTCTATTACAATACAACCAATGGTGTATATAATAGCTTTGTTTTTAAACAATACATATGTCTGTTCCAATGTTGCTTGCACTTCACTGGTAGCGGTGTAATCACATGCGTGTATGTGTGTGTGAGAGAGAGGGAGACTGATAGTTGAAGGAATGGTGAGTTAGTCACGCTGACAGAGCCAAAGAACAGAGAGAGAGAGAGAGAGAGAGAGAGAGAGAGAGAGAGAGAGAGAGAGAGAGAGAGAGAGAGAGAGAGAGAGAGAGAGAGAGAGAGAGAGAGAGAGAGAGAGAGAGAGAGAGAGAGAGAGAGAGAGAGAGAGAGAGAGAGAGAGAGAGAGAGAGAGAGAGAGAGAGAGTGTGTGATAGAGACATTGCGTCTGCGTCTGTGTTGTTTCCTTGTTTTGATCGTACTCCGCGGTAATCAGACCAACGGCTTGAATCCCGTATAAAGATGTCGACTGATATGATGTTCTTAATGGTCATTTGAACATGTTTCTCCCGCTGCTGACGACGAACATAGAACTATTACCGTTAAGTACCTGGGCTATTAGAGACGGAAAACTACACCAATTCATGAACAAGCAGTTATCCAGTTCCACACTGATAGAAATAACAGTAAACATGCTATGTGTATGCTAATGGTTTGCCTGCATACAGAGGATATAGGGCTATCATAGTAACATTCTACATATGACTGCAATTGTGTTCAAAAGGTCATGACTACGTTATTTCGAACACATACTCGTGTATGAAAGACGATACAATGAGAAACAATTGGGAACAAAAACCCCATCACATTCAATACTTCCCGTTTCTTTTTTAGCAGTACCATTGTATAGTAGTTATTTGAAATGAATTACGGCTTTTTCTTACACAATCGATGATCTTCAGCCAGCTGAAAAATGACTATTCGTCAAATGTATAATCCATTGGGAAATATAACTGTCAGTCGGGCAATGCGGCCATTTATCTGACTCTGGATCTGTCAAACAGATTTGTAAATCTGGCTATCAGTGTCCAATATAGTGGAACAGAATATCCCACAAGGATGGTTGGCGCAACAGAAAGATAAATAATGTACAAGGCGTGTCACGGCAATATTGCTCCAGTGCCTGCCAGCGTTGTGTCTATTACATTGGCTTGAAATAATTCATGATTTGGCTTGTTCGATATTGTTGCATATTGCCGGGTCTACGTCTACAGTGTAACAAGCACCTGTTGTCTGTGTGTGTGTGTGGGAATATTAACTCCTTCCACATCTGTTGCATTGAATCGATCGCGAGGAAAATGTCCAACACAGGTATATTGCTGTTATAGTATTTGGGAATTTAAATAGTTTTCCCATGAGAGTAGCGTGTGGCAATGCGTAAAGAGCACAGGTCATAAATCAATTGAAGTTAAGTACCGTTGGTCGCCGAGAGTCCTTGGATGGATGACTGGGTTTAGCGTCTTTACTCATGAGAGTTTCTAGGACTTCAACGGTGGCCACTACAGCATTGTAACACATGCGGTCTCGTCTTAGGCAAGTGTTTTTTCAGAACTGCCCTGTTCATCCAGCAGTGAATGGGTACCCGGTGGGATGAGATGGTCGTATGATTGTTAACATTCTAGCTCTTCATATGCTGCTTGGATTGTAGTACATACTGATCCATTGACCGGGGTAATAATGTTAGCGCTTCGAGCAGCTGCTGCATGGAAGTAGCGCAATAGAAACGCACACTTTATTAATATTATGATACATAACGTAAGTGACAAGTGTGTTTGTACAGGAGGCTCAGTGGATATACAACATATATACATCATACTCCTCGTGAAGATACGAAAAATTCGTATACCATTATTCTTCCTTTATAATTATTAAGCTACATAAAGTGAGTCTTTGTCTACAGCGTGTTTTCAATTTGTTTCATTTATAACTATACATTGAAAAAAATGATCGTTCAATCAAAATGTCGGAAATATACTTTGACTGACACTATTATCGGTCTCTCTTGCTTAAACAAATGTCAAGCTACGCAATGCTCGTAATAGGTTTCCGATTAACACGTAATGAACCGTTGACGTTGGTTGACGTTGTTTGACGCTGGTTGACGGTGACGGCTTAGACATTTGTAATCGAAACCTTTAATACGTCACCAGAACTAAACTAAAACCTGTAAAACTACTTACGTGTTCTTGGCTCGTATGGTCCTAAGTTCTCTGACGTCATAAACTGTCTAATAAGCGTAGATTTCCCGACCCCGTCAGACCCGAGAACCATCACCCGGTAGTAAGATGGAGCTGACGAGGCTCCACTGTCCATCGATGTCACACTGGTCGCACGTGACGGCTTTTTGTCATGATCGTGCAGACTTATGAAGCTACCACCAGACTTTAAGCTGTTTGTACTTTTACTTTTGAATTTGTCTCCAATGTTTAAGACTCCTTTTGACGTCTTCTTGAACGATCGGACTCTGCAGAGTCCGCCCCTTGATGTGCACTGTTGCTGTCGTCGTAGGCATGTTCAGCCCTGACGTCGTTGTTGGAATCCGCAACAGATAGATATATTTGTGGAACGCTGTCCGATCGAGGTCTGGAGTCAATCTTAAGACTCAGTTTCGGCCTGGGACGATTCCTGAAAGAAGACGACCGGGCATGGGAGTTTGTCGTGGTACCACCTTGTGGTACCACGGACAGATACTGGTCGCTCATATCACAGTTATCACTAAATGACCTATGAATAACAGTTACAAACACAAGCCTTGGGAAGTTTCACTGAGAGGAAACACTTGGCTCTGTTACCATCCTCAATTGAACTCGGTCACGAACATTCGCAATTAACAACACGAACTACACAAACTGTTGCTGTGACTCGTCAACATACTTCCACGACCGTGTACCAACATCGATTCGGACAAATCACATGACCTACAACAATTCCTCCAATGAGAAGCCAGTATTTCCTTCACTGCGGTTTCTGCGTCATGGCCGGATCCCCGTGAACGACACAGCCAAATTCTTCGCATCAGCCGTAGAAATTCGATCCTGAAGCACTCCGCTATCTTTGGCACGGCAGCACCCTCTTCCGAGCAAACACACGGAGCAATGATCCAACGATACACAGGTGTAACCCAACTTCCTCGCTGCAGAGCCTGGCAAAAGCTCGTGGAGATAATTCCTCGCCAGAGGAGCCTCTCTCAGCGCTGGGACGGGTCCACTTCCACAAGGGACTTGGGAAAACACCTTTGATGTCTAATCAGTTTTTGAGAGCCCAATTAAGAAGATTTGTAAACCTGTCGTCCTTCCGTATCGTTTGATTGTTGTGTGTCATAATCTCCACCTGTCTCTGTGGATGCTCATTAGAACATTAGGTAGTCTCCCTGTGTAACCTTTGGTAGAAATAGGCCTGGCTTCAGGAATTAGTACTACAAGCATGTATCCTGTACAGAAGGCTCGTTAACGGCCTAATACCATGACACAAAGGGTCGTCTCACGGGCCATAAATAATGTATTGACGCCGATCGATATATCGATTCTTGAGCCAGATGACCTTCAACATGTATGATATACTTATATTTATTCGAGTGTTTTCGAGAGCATATTTGGATGTATATTTCTAGACAAACTGTTTACTACTGCACATATTGTGCCCTATTTACACTTGTTTACATGCTGGTTATATAATGTAGGTTGTATTTTCACAGTGTTAATGTTTCACATAGAGATATACAGTGTTAATATATCGGTGACTCGATGTTTATGTTATGCAGTACTAGTATGTGGGAGAGTTGTCTTAGTCTACGTGTTCTTTACGGTTATATCGGGTGATATTATAAGGGATAGCTAACGTACTATTGATTTATCAATGTTATACATGGATGTATGCTGCATCTAGGGCGTTTGCTTATACATATGAAAGTAAAATCACTTGTGGCTAGTATCAGTCAATAGTCTGTGTATTATGTAAAACACTTGTGGCTGGGATACAAGGTATATACACAGCTATCGTTGCCTATACATATTACCAACATGCATACAACACTTATGTGGCTATGATACAAAGGTATATAACTGTGTATACTTATACATATAAGTAAAACACACTAGGATGTGTATACTTATACATATTAAGTAAAACACTTGTGGCTATGATACAAGGTAGGTATATACACTGTGTATACTTATAAAACACATATTAAGTATAAAACACTTGTGGCTAGGATACAAGGTATATACACTGTGTATACTTATACATATTAAGTAAAACACTTGTGGCTAGGATACAAGGTATATACACTGTGTATACTTACATACACTGTGTATGCCTATATTAGTAAAAAGTAAAACACTGTGTATGCTTATACTAGGATACAAGGTATATACACTGTGTATACTTAGTACATATGAAGTAAAACACTTGTGACTAGGATACAAGGTATATACACGTTGTATATTTATGCATATTAAGTGTACTATGAAAAGTATTGTAATGTTTTAGTAGAAAGAGGTATACGGTGTAGATACGTGCGTGGACGCGCGTGTGTGTGCGTGTGTGTTTTTCTTGTTTAACGGTTGACGCAGCAGCAACCTGTATATACTGCTGTCTTGAGCAGTCAAACCAGTGGTGGATATTATGAGCATCGAAATCCACGTTGTTAGTAAAAAGTCCACCCGATACATTTAGTAACCTCTTACGACCAGCAACAGATGTTGAAGGGAGGATCCAATCCCCACACGTTGGACCATGTAATACACAGAGCATCATATATAGGAAATACCCTTGATGTATATGGAAGATTTTGATTCTTGTCAAGAACATGCTTATCGACTGCCCCAGCAAAGTGTCAACAGAACAGTTAACATTTCCAGGTCGCGAACTGAAATTAAACGCCAAATATTCTGGTATTAATTATGCATATATGATTGATGATCCTGGTAATATTACCCTGAAAACTTAATGTTTAATGTCATACTTTAATGTCATACCATTCTAACTTCACTGCCAATAGGACAAAATGAACTTTGTCATTTCACTCAAGTGAATTATCGATTTGTTGGTTTCGTGTCAATGCAACATTTCACCAATAACGACACAACAACATGGCTATTTTTATATAATTATGCAATTCCTTCCATTGTTCATGTATTTACAGTCCATTTCTGATGTCCCCCGCCGTGATATTGCTGGAATATTGCTAAAAGCGGCGTAAAACCAAACTCACTCACTCATGTATTTACATACATTCGTACATCATCCACAGAATATATTATGTCACATATGGAAACCTGTCATCGGTTCCCAATTGCGCATATCGATGCTCATGATGTCGATCACTGGATTGTTTGGTCCAGACTCGATTATTTACTTTACATACCGCCGCCATATAGCTGGAATATTGATGAGTGAGGCGTAAACCTCAAGTCACTCACTCACTCACAATGGAAACTTTTATGAATCGATCAGGTCTTTTCTTATTAGGAGTGAATGAGAGAGTGAGTGAGCATGGTTTTACGCCGCTTTTAGCAATATTCCAGCAATATCACGGCGGGGGACACCAGAAATGAGCTTCACACATTGTATACACTGTGTATACTTATACATATGAAGTAAAACACTTGTGGCTATGATACAAAGTATATACACTGTGTATGCTTATACATATTAAGGAAACCCTTGTGGCTAGGATACAAGGTATATACACTGTGTATACTTATATAAATTAAGTAAAACACTTGTGGCTATGATAGAAGGTATATACACTGTGTATACTTATACATATTATGCAAAATACTTGTGGCTACGATACAAGGTATATACATTGTGTATACTTATACATATGAAGTAAAACACTTGTGGCTATGATACAAGGTATATACACTGTGTATACTTATACATATTAAGTAAAACACTTGAGGCTAGGATACAAGGTATATACACTGTGTATACTTATACAAATTAAGTAAAACACTTGTGGCTATGATACAAGGTATATACACTGTGTATACTTATACATATGAAGTAAAACACATGTGGCTATGATACAAGGTATATACACTGTGTATACTTATACATATTAAGGAAACACTTGTGGCTATGATACAAGCTATATACACTGTGTATACTTATACATATGAAGTAAAACACTTGTGGCTAGGATACAAGGTATATACACTGTGTATACTTTCACATGGTAAGTAAAACACTTGTGGTTAGGATACAAGGTATATACTGTGTATCCTTACACATATTAAGTAAAACACTTGTGACTAGGATACAAGGTATATACACTGTGTATATTTCCACATATTATGGAAAACACTAGTGGCTAGGATACAAAGGATATACACTGTGTATACTTATACATGGTAAGTAAAACACCTGTGGCTACGATACAAGGTATATACACTGTGTATACTTATACATGGTAAGTAAAACACTTGTGGTGATGATACAAGTTATATACACTGTGTATACTTATACATATTAAGTAAAACACTTGTGGCTAGGATACAAGGTATATACACTGTGTATGGTTATACATATTAAGTAAAACACTTGTGACTAGGATACAAGGTATATACACTGTGTATACTTATACATATTAAGTAAAACACTTGTGGCTAGGATACAAGGTATATACACTGTGTATGCCTATACATATTAAGTAAAACACTTGTGGCTAGGATACAAGGTATATACACTGTGTATACTTATACAAATTAAGTAAAACACTTTTGGCCAGGATACAAGGTATATACACTGTGTATACTTTTACATATGAAGTAAAACACTTGTGGCTATGATACAAGGTATATACACTGTGTATACTTATACATATGAAGTAAAACACTTGTGGCTAGGATACAAAGTATATACACTGTGTATGCTTATACATATGAAGTAAAACACTTGTGGCTAGGATAGAAGGTATATACACTGTGTATACTTACACATATTAAGTAAAACACGTGTGGCTAGGATAGAAGGTATATACACTGTGTATACTTATACATATGAAGTAAAACACTTGTGACTAGGATACAAGGTATATACACGTTGTATATTTATGCATATTAAGTGTACTATGAAAAGTATTGTAATGTTTTAGTAGAAAGAGGTATACGGTGTAGATACGTGCGTGGACGCGCGTGTGTGTGCGTGTGTGTTTTTCTTGTTTAACGGTTGACGCAGCAGCAACCTGTATATACTGCTGTCTTGAGCAGTCAAACCAGTGGTGGATATTATGAGCATCGAAATCCACGTTGTTAGTAAAAAGTCCACCCGATACATTTAGTAACCTCTTACGACCAGCAACAGATGTTGAAGGGAGGATCCAATCCCCACACGTTGGACCATGTAATACACAGAGCATCATATATAGGAAATACCCTTGATGTATATGGAAGATTTTGATTCTTGTCAAGAACATGCTTATCGACTGCCCAAGCAAAGTGTCAACAGAACAGTTAACGTTTCCAGGTCGCGAACTGAAATTAAACGCCAAATATTCTGGTATTAATTATGCATATATGATTGATGATCCTGGTAATATTACCCTGAAAACTTAATGTTTAATGTCATACTTTAATGTCATACCATTCTAACTTCACTGCCAATAGGACAAAATGAACTTTGTCATTTCACTCAAGTGAATTATCGATTTGTTGGTTTCGTGTCAATGCAACATTTCACCAATAACGACACAACAACATGGCTATTTTTATATAATTATGCAATTCCTTCCATTGTTCATGTATTTACAGTCCATTTCTGATGTCCCCCGCCGTGATATTGCTGGAATATTGCTAAAAGCGGCGTAAAACCAAACTCACTCACTCATGTATTTACATACATTCGTACATCATCCACAGAATATATTATGTCACATATGGAAACTTGTCATCGGTTCCCAATTGCGCATATCGATGCTCATGATGTCGATCACTGGATTGTTTGGTCCAGACTCGATTATTTACTTTACATACCGCCGCCATATAGCTGGAATATTGATGAGTGAGGCGTAAACCTCAAGTCACTCACTCACTCACAATGGAAACTTTTATGAATCGATCAGGTCTTTTCTTATTAGGAGTGAATGAGAGAGTGAGTGAGCATGGTTTTACGCCGCTTTTAGCAATATTCCAGCAATATCACGGCGGGGGGACACCAGAAATGAGCTTCACACATTGTACCCATGTGGGAATCGAACCCTGGTCTTTGGCGTGACGAGCGAACGCTTTAACCACTAGGCTACCCCACCGCCCCTGCTTATTGGGAAATCGTTTGAGACGCCTGTTATGTCAGCGTAACCCAGGTGTTAACCATGGGCAGTTTACGCTTGTTTACATGAATATATAACGTCAGGAGCAT